CTGCCAGGCTATTCCTCTCCAACCCCGGGGGGCTGCTGTGCTGCTTCAACGCTTTCTGTACGGCTGCTTTTCCACCTTGTGCTAAATTTGGTCTTATCCCTTTAATGGTGCAGTAAAAGAGCAAAGTATGCCGCTGCTGGAAGGTAAAAGTCCAAAGGGACGGACGCAGCGCCAAAGCGATAACGGGGAGGCAGAGCGCGGGCAGCCAGAAGTCCACGGGTGCCATGGGTGGGGTGGAGGAAGGTGGAGGTGGAGGAGGACAGCGGTGAAACCCAGCTTCCCTGCCATGAACTGAACTGAACTCAACTGCCACAGCTCTACCCTGGTCCAAGGGAAAAGATACGGGGATAGCTGTTAACTAGCCATTTCCAGAAGGTTAACCGGAGCAGGGAATTTAGTTCCAGCCGTAAAACTCCGTGAAATGTTGAGCGGTAGTTCGGCAAAGTCTCCACAGCGCCACGGCCCCAACAGGCATCCCTGAAGAAGTGCTGTTCGGTGCAAGGGAAGAGTCTCCCACAAGTAAAGAGTCTCCTGCAAAGCCCCTTGCAGCTTCTGGGCTTGGCCCAGTTGACCAGCCAACAAAGAACCACCTGGGACAAGCACCCAAGGCTTCTGCTGCAGGCTTTTTCCCTTCCCGTCTCCTGCCCCGGCACCTTTGCGTTCTTCTGCTTAGGAGTTTCACAGAGACGACATCCTCTGGGGTTGTCCTCCTGCCTGCGCTCCTCTCCCTGCCTCACACAGCTCTTTCCTTGCCCTCCGTCTCCTCCAACTACAGCTACATCTCTCCTTGAGTGTTGGGGTTGTTCAGCCTGGAGAAGAGAAGGCTCCGGGGAGACGTTATTGCCGCCTTCCAGTGCCTAAAGGGGCTCCAGGAGAGCAGGGGAGGGACTTTTTACAAGGGCATGGAGTGATAGAATGAAGGGGAATGGCTTCAAACTGGAAGAAGGGAGATTTAGATGAGATATTAGGAAAAAATTCTGCGCTGTGCAGCCGCTGAGCCCCTGGGGCAGGTTGCCCCGAGAAGCTGTGGCTGCCCCATCCCTGGAGGTGTTCAAGGCCAGGTTGGACGGGGCTTGGAGCAACCTGGGCTGGTGGGAGGTGTCCCTGCCCAGGGCAGGAGGGTGGAACTGGATGATTCAAGGTCCCTTCCAACCTAAGCCATTCTGTGATTCTACGATTCCCTGCTGCTGCTGCTTGGCTGTTTCCTTCCTCCTCCTGGGAGTGATGCAGCCCACAGCAGCGATGCAGCACAGGAGGAGCTGGTGAGGACCCCAAGACCCAGGGGGTGCGGGAGCTGCCCACCCCTCCCTTTCTGCATGGGGTCTCACGCCCCCATCCCATCCCTGACCCCCTCAACCCGGGGTGGCCAAGGCCGGTGCACACCACCTCATCCTTTTGGGTCGTGCATCCCAGAGACCCGCCGAGGAGAGGGAGCGGTTCCTCTGGCTCAATGGATGCAGCCAGATTTACTCAGGCTGTTAAGTTGATTAATTGAAATGAAGTTCCTCCAGAGAATCGGCGTGTTCTTTGAGGTCAGGGTCACAACACTGAGACGCTTAATCAGATCTTTCCATTTAGCCCCTCTTAGGCAGGCTGGAATGCAGGCTCTTTCAAAGCAAGGCACTTGGCGCCAAATTTCTGCTCTGCTATCTTGCCTCTTCCATTACATTTAACCAGCACATCCATCATTATGAAATAAAACCCAACGCTACAAATCCAGCTCAGGTGATCTTTCCGCAACTGAAGCCGGTAGGAAAAAAAAAAAAAACAAAACCCAAACAACTCTGTCCAAATTTGATATTGCTGTTGTTTTAAAAAGCGATGCAGAATGGGGCGGAAAGGGTAACTGTCACTCTAAGTCTGTCCTTTCGGAGGCAGGGGGCAGATGTTTCTGTGCGGATAACAAATTCCTTTATCTGGCTGAAGCATTTCTCTGGGGAAGGTGGAGGAGGTTATTATAAGGTTACCCCGAACCATTGTTAAAGAAAGGGTTTTTCATTGCAATTCAAGAGCCCATCATATTACCCAGAGATAAATCACTCCTGTATGGCTGCGGAACAGCTCTTACGCAACAGACATGCCGGATCCCACACGCGTTAAAAGCACTGAAAGCTTGTCCGATGTATAACTAACTCATCGGCCAGAAGTTAGCATATCCCATTAGCATGTACACTTCTGTGGACCTCTTCTGTTCCTACTTCAGTCCCTGTCGGCTGAGGGACGTTTCTCACATCTGAATGCATTAATTGAAAATAATGTAATT